CATTTTTCTGTATTCAGCAGCTAGCATTATACTAAACTTGCAGAAATTCTATCATGTCTACATACATCTGTACAGGTTAAATATTGCATTTGTACCTAAAGCTCGTTGATTACTTAATGAGGTTAATGGGAGAGTAACTGTACGGATAATTTTATAGCTAAAACTGCAGGGATGAAAGCCAAACTATGACATTTCTCTGCATTAACCAATCTCATATCTTGTTCCATTGCATTAAAATAACACATTCACTGACTGCTAAAGAAAATGGCGTTCTTATCTGGGCACTCACATACTACTGGTACATTCAAATAACTGGTTCCAGGGAGGGATTTCAAACACAGTCCACAAATAAAGAGGTATATGATGGAAGATAACAGACCTCTGGTACAGACCTCTTCTGTAGCACTACGCTGATGCTCTTAAAACAAAGTTAGTCATGAGCAGGTTGCACCCTGAGGTCTGTCTGCCCCCTCCCCAGCCAGAGGCTGTGCAAACAGCCTGCGAGTGCATGGCCAGCCACAATCTGTGCATCGTACTGAGGGAGGCCCACTTGCAAGTGCAAGGGTTTTGCTACTCACCCTGAATGTCTAAAGGCCTCACTGAGACCTGCCCAAGTGGATTGCAGAGCATCTTACCCCAATGTGCTCCGCAGAAAAAGTAAGTGCCAGCAGCAGTTCCTGCATCTGAGGACGTTTATGGACCCCTTCCTCTAGGCCTAAGGGGAGATTGGAAGAAGAGGGGTCCTCCCAGTCCCATACACCTGGTGACTAACAAGGCACAGTCTCCACAGTGGGTGATTTTTGTTCCTTATTCCATTACAGCCCCGTGACTGGTTGTTGCATCAGTCAGGTAAGGGTAAAAGGAAGGTACACAAATTTAAAAGATCTCAGGTGCTCACTTCCCTGTGATTGCTAGTGGACTTAGGCCCTTACCTTCAAAAGATGAGGCTAAAGAGAAGAAACAGGTGATGAAATGGTCTGCATTTTGTTAGCTGAGAGGCTTGAGGCTTTTAATTTATTCTTCATTTAATGTTAATTTAATTTTTATTTCCTTTTTGTTGATTTGGGATGCTTGTTTTGATGATGAATGGATGTGTATAGTTGTCTAGGATGGAACTATACCCTGTTATTCTGACTTCCAGGTAATGTCACAATACCATACACATAAGCTTCCAGGTGCAAAATTCACCATAGTTTTACCAAGAGCTACTCTTAGACAAGGTGTTACCTTTCCGTCTTCGGTGCCTCCTGGATAGCTGTCTACCTCATCAACATCTTCTTAGTGATAATCCTTCTTTTTATTTTGTCTTTATTTATTTGCGATAACTTGCATCTCATGATCAGTGATTTTTGTACATATCTCTTAAGCCATTTGTGAGCTTAATGCGTTTTACAGAGGTAACTCATGGTCTATGAACTTTTGAAAATGTCAGCAAGCTCCTCTCTGCTCATCATGCTCCTAAATGCCTGTAAGAACTTATCGTAAGTAACTTTGAAAACAAGTATTCATTCCTACCTCTCAGTGGCTTTTGAATATGTATAAGAAACTATACTTAATATTTCTGGAATCTTACAGTAGAGCTTGGCATTTTATTTATTGATTTATACACGTAAAAGCCATGGAAAAATCACTGTACTCATGCAAGTTAAAAATTAATAAATCAATGGTGAATCAGATCCTTTGGTTACCAATTTGTTGGACTTTTTAATGTCTCTTATGTTATAAGCTAAATCCTGGATCATATCCAAGCTTCTTACATAATGCTGTATTGCTTTTTGAGGAATTAGAGATGTTCTGGCACATATTGAAATAATAAAATCAGGATATCTGGTTTTCTACCAGATACATTTAAGCAGTGCCTGTATGGAAAAAAAAAGGTTTGCAGGTATTTCAAGAGATAAATATAGCAGGTTCATTGCGTGGTTTTTGATTCAGGGACTGCATATGAGAACAGCAATTGAGAAAACGATTCATCCCAAATATCCCTTGTTTTGCACACTGATATTGTTTTATAAGGTCTTGAACTATAGATAGTTTTGATAGGCTGTCTTATTATATCTACAATAGCTTCTGTTCTCTTTCCAGGCTGCCTGAGAGCAGTTTTTTGTGTGAATGAGGCTGGAGTCATGGTTTCTATGGTGACGTCAACCACATGTCACCTCATCAGGCAGCTCCGGCCCCTCCAGCACATAACATAGCACTTGGCACCCTTTCCCTGCAAGCATTGCTGATGGGGGCAGGGAGAGAAGCTAGAAATGTAAATCCTGTGGGGCAAGTCCCCTATGGCAGCTATGCTTCTCGACCACCTTAACTCCCTCGCGTACACTTTGCGTTTAGTAGACTCATGTGAGAGACAAGGCTCTGCTAGCTCAATGTTATTCTGAGTCCCACCAGAATAACATTATTCAACCCAATACATTTACTCTAGCGTAATTCTATTATAAGAGAAATAGCAATCAAGCTCAGTGGGGTAACATCAGTGCAGGTGAGATCAGAATCTGGCCCAGAGGCTCCGTTTCACATTGCTATAGTAATATGCACATTGCTATGGTAATGTGTGAACACTGGATGCTTGATGTTGTTGCTCACGGAGAATCAGAACATTACAGGATAGATCTAAAATAATCAATCCTTTATTGAGCTGGGGCACTAGAGACTATGATTAAAGAGTACCCTAAGGCTTAAAACAATGCTTTTGAGTTGAAAAGGGTGCTTTTGAACTAATACCTTTCTCTCTCTCTCTCTTTCTCTCTTTCTCTGAATCTGAGGTGCAGTGTTAACATGTCTCTGTGAGGTCAGCAATAAATCAAAGTGCTTTCTAATTTTATAAAAAAGCCTTTCTTCTGAGAGGAAGTACTGTAGTTACGGGAAACTAAGGGTCCCTGTACTCACTTGGGGCTGCGAAGGTTCGTACATAGATCAGAGAGATGCATCCTGATCTACTGTATGGTACTGGGCATACTACATAACTTTTGAGCATCACAATCTCCTAAAGTGACAGTAACGATTGCTACTCTTCCTTCCCCTCCCACCCTTGAGATTTAGTCCTGGAAAGAGTTATGAGGAACAGATTATTTCAGGGAAGTTAAGTCCCTTCTCTGAGAGAAGATTGAATTTTGACTTTTGGAAAAAAAAAAAAAAAGGATTCGTACACACTTTTCATTTGCATGCACTTTCCGTTAATCCATAACAACTAAAAAGACTACCTAACTAGGCAGAGGCATGATTCCAGATTTGTTTTGGTTATGCAGTGCTACCACACTTTCAACAGCTTGAAGTAAGGAAAAGTGCAGTGCTGAAAGTTCCACTACCATTAAAGCCCACAAACAAACCTACCTAAAAACTTCTTTTGAGTCCAGAATCTCTCTCTTTCAGCAAGAATAAGTGGCTTCCTCTTCAACTGCTGCTGTGGTGATGGCCTCTCTCATTGCAGGATGCTTTGTGAGCCATTGGGAATCTGAGCCCTGAAGTATGAATCTGACTTGATTAAGTTTATTTTTACAGCCTTTCGGCTGCATTTTCTAGGCAGGCGAATGTGAGAGCTTCATAACTGTAATAAAGCAGTAGGTTGGATTGCACTTTGGGTACTGTCTGTATAATGCAACAGAGACTGGTACCAAGAATAATGCTGTGCTCCTGCAAAATGAGATGATATGAAACGGTCCCACCTTCGCAACTTCACATCATCCTACCAGCATCATTTCTGGTATACTAAAAAAATCTAATAATTTCCCCACATGCACAAAGGAAGATGTTGATCTCTTGATCAACAGTGCTTTAGCTTTATCTCTCTGCTAAAACATTTTGAGGTGTACAGAGGAAAACTGTAAAATAAAAGTTCAATGTTGAAGGAATACTGACGAAACAGAAAACAATGGGGCAGAGTGCAGGGGAGCGCTATTTCCCATCACTGGAAACTGAAAGTGTTTACAGGGAGGAAGTACAAGAGTTCATTGGTACATTAAAACATTCTTGATGTGAGAGTGATCTTAAAAACACAAAAAATAGCTGAGAATGAAAGCATAAGGCAGAACTGCTCCAGTTTGTATCAAAGAGCTAGCAGCTTCTATTCACTAATTACGATCTTGTAATCATACTGAACTGATAGAAACCAGAGTTGCTCTCAGGCTCAAGCAAAGCATTGTAAAGCCCTATACTCTAATCCTGAAAATGCTAAAATTCAAGTATGCTAAACCCTTATTGCTACAGATGTCTCTTTTACAGCAGTATCAGCTTTCACAGCTTTTACTGAATCTTATTTGAGAACCTACATCTTTGCTACAGTGAGGATTGTCTTGAGTAGGATTGCTCAATTACAATTTACTGACTTCAGCTGGACGATTTCCCTGAAACCCACTCATTTTAGTAAAAGCTGACTGAGTAATTTTATTGAGGGCCACTCCTTTTTTATGCAGTAATCTTGCCACAGGCCACTCCATCTCTCTTTGGCCGTCCTAGCCTGCTGCTGGTGTTTCCTGAGCTATCAGGAGGAGAGGTGGAAGATATGGGATATGGGAAGATATGGGAACTCATACAGAAATGCGGGAAAAAGCATACTTCTGAAACCAGGCAAAGGCCACATCAATTGTCTCCACAATGGTAATCAGAATCGGGTTCTGTCATTTGATGACATATTGGGCCCTAGAGAATCTAACAGTAGAAGATTACTAAACTCAGTCCTGTATCTTTTGTTTTCCATATGCATCTTTATGATGCTTCTTCTTCAGCATAGATGGTAAATGAAAAGCAGCTGCAATAAGTGCAGGTGATAAATATGGTCAGAAGTAAGAGCAGCATCTTAACAGATTAGGTGCATACAAGTGGAATTACGGTGTCTTTTTCTTCATTATATTCATTATAGGGTATGTTTAATAGTACATTTTCTCAGACACTGTATTTACTTGCAGTATATTGTCTCCTTTTTGACTTTAGATCAGAAATCAAGGGATTTATGATTCATTTGTTCACGTTCTCTCACTTTTTCCCTTCTATCCACGCAGACTACCTGCACTACTGCAGTAAGAGTAACATCTCTTCCGTGACTAAACATATCAGCAGTTAGCATGATGATCTCAGGTAAGTAATGGAGCATTTCCTCAAAAGTTGTTAAAAGGCAAGAATTCCCCAAGAAAAGCAGAGCAGGTGTCGAAGTGATCATGGAAGAGCCGAGCAAGAAGTCCCACAGGGAAATCTTCCTCTGGCCTAACTGAAAGGAGGAAAGAGCAGAGCCAGAACTCAGAGATTCAGGAAGGATGTGGAGGGAGAGAGGCGGCAAGAAGAAGCAGGACTGGAGAGCTGATAAGAGCAGAAGAACATTTCCACATTTGTAAACCTCACTTTGGGTATAAAACAGCATTACGTGTATGAAGTTCTGCTTGGTGTGTGACCAAGCAAATGCTGTCTTAATATTAAATCCACCTCCAAAGGAAATTAGCTCATACAAATCCTTCCTTCTCTCTGGACATACTGAAAGGACAAGCACACTGTGTGCACTAGTAATAGAATTGCAGCAGGCTCTTGTAAAGGCTAATGCAAAAAAAAAAGCACAGCAACACGTGAGAAAAGGGACACCCTTGTGGCCGAAAAAAAAAGGGCTCTAATATTGAATTTATTTTAAAAATATTCAACCTATTTTGATTTTCTTATTGCATATCTGACAGAGAACTAGGGAAGATCACTGTGATTACTGGGTCTGAAAAGAGTAAAATGCCGTAAGACTTTTATGTTATGCAGAGGCCTTGTACAGGCACAATTATTTTCTGATAAAAAATAACAGAAAAATACACATACATATTTCTGTATCTTAAGGACTAGGCAGTGGAAACACCTTCTGTCATTTCACAGTAAAACACTAATAGTATTAATAAATGTTCTTATTAACAGTATGCATTGATTAATAATATTAAGGAGGATGGAGCAAGCGATTCTGGAAACAGCATGTGACAAGCAAGGAGGCTACTATCACATCATCTGGTGTCATTAGAGAGCAAACAGTGGGTTGATTTTAACCTTAAGCAAATGACTAGATTGACTAAATATTAGTCAATTATCATTAATGGTGAAAAAAGTAGCCAATTGCACCCACTAAGACCTCTAATACTCAATCAGTGGTTTATAAAAATGGGTTCAATCACATTACTGAAAATTAGAAATTTATTGTGAATCCACCTAGTGGATGGACCTATGTTTAAGTAGTGTCTTTTAAAATCAGGTCCTGAAGTCTAATTGAGATTGCTGTTCACTACTGCAATACAAAAAATGACAAAAAATGCAGAAAAAGAATTAGTTTTGGTTAGACTACTCACCTTTTGGAGGTGTATCATAGAGCTTGGTTGAAGAACTGTTTAATGCTAAGTCTTGCAATCTCTAGAAAAGTTTTGACATAATATCAAACTAGTTATCCTTCAGACAAGCTCGTACCATAACTTAAGTCTGTGTGCCCTCATCAATCACCCTTTCAATTAGTCTGATTCAGGCTATCGGGAGATAACAGTGACCTGCTCTGGTGTAATTGGCACATCTATGATGGCAGAGTTATTTCTGTGACTGCCTGATTAGTGCATTGGCAGTATCCTCTGACCAGGGAGCTCTGGAAACCACACGGATCAATACTTCCCTAAGGCAGGACCAGCTGTTAGTCCACTTCCCAGACAGCAATATTCAAGATTCTCCCCCTCAGTCTTTCTGAAAAATTAGAAAACATCATTAATATATGGACAGGGCTTCGTCTGTGTGACAATATCCATCCTGAGACTCAGATTCACTAATTGGTTAGAGTTGGAACAATGATGCAAGAATATAAAATTTTTAAAAGACACACACAAGGATCATTTAAAGATATCATGGAGATCAATAGAGGAAAAAATAAGCTTTAACTTATAGCATTTTCTTACAGGAAAAAACAGGAGAAGTTAGAGTGCCTTCAGAGTCTTTTTCTTGGCTGCACAGCGAGCAGAGGCATGGTGAGTTGCCACATTCTGCCTCGCAGTTTTTCTTAGTCCCTTTCTCTGATGTCCAAAACCCTCCTATCTTGATCTATAAGGAAGAAAAGCAAACATATATTTACTGCCTTGCTTAATGCAGAATATAAATCATACAGCAGACCAGCTGTTACATACAGCCTTCAAGATGCACTTTATGAGAAGAGCACAACTCAGTTTTAGTGTGGATTTGGCTGTGAGTCCCTCTTTCTGGCTGGGGGTCTCCATGTGTCGGTACTGGTCCTGTTCTCTACCTCATTACCTGGCAGAACAAGTTTCATCTGGGTCAAGAGCAACCTGGTTTAAGTACGGCATATGATGTTTATGCTGGCTTAAGGCTTTAACCTGGCTGCAGGAAAACAGATAGTATCTGATCCAACGTAAAAATTGTTGGCCAAAGTTACTGTTTTATCGTTTTTTGAATAAACTTTGCTGTCAGAGGTTTGTTCAAAATCATTGTGTATCACATTGCCACAGTATTTTTGATCTGAGGAGACCTAAAATCCTATCATGGCATCCATCTGTCAACAAATGCTAACTGGGATGAGAATGTGGGTTTTTTACTTAGATGCTAAGATTTGGATTATATGTGTATTTGCATATTTAAAACATGTTGTGTTCCAGTCTGATGATTTTTTTTCAGTTACACTTGAAAGTAATAGATTGAAAAGTTATATAGCATCATCTAGTGGTCATATACAAATCTACAGGAGGCTGCAATTCCGCCATCCTTATATTGTTACTTTTTGATCTGAAAGGAAAATACAAAATATGTAAATTCTTTATTTTCAGCTGTCGATCTTTAGACTCCAAGAAAGAAATAGACCATTAAATTAGGAGGCGTGTCAGGCCCATACTGTTAGCATTGACGATTGTAGAATAAGCATATCAAACACATTATTGCAAATTTTACTGCAAATGAGCTTAAGCCAATGAATTTTGATGTGGAATTGTTAACACTGGCATGCTAAGAGCCCGGGATCACCTGTATTTAATTGTGATATTGCATTTACTGCTATCAGTTCCATTTGACAAAATAAACTGTAACTTACAACATTTTCAAACTACTTTTTCACAGGCATAGAATCAGGACAGGAATCCAAGTCTTCTGGCTCCAAGGCTGAGCTTTTATAATTAGATTAATTAGAATAAAATGTCTCAAAAAGTAACTGACTTCAGAAATCTGCTTTCTGTAAAACTCGGCTGTTTATGTTCGCTGTTCTCGAGGATTTTTGTCTTTTGCCTCTTTTTTGAAAGATTAAGATTCCTTTGGTTGTACGTGATTATGTACTAAATTAGTATGTATAAATTAGGCTGTAGTGAGGTCAATGCTGAGGCAAGGAAGTTACCCCCAGGCCTTCTTTTAAATCGAGGCTACATTAAAAGACTTTCTTATAACACAGGGTACAGGACAGTTACACCACCAGGGGATCTGGTGCCTATGCCAGTGATACTCTTATGCATTTCTAGGATCTCACCATTGCCAGGAGAGGCAACCTCTATTCCTAAGGAGAAGAGCAGCTGCCTTCCCTTTCCCGATGGCACAGCCTGTTCGGATAGCAGCTCAGCAAAGTCACTTCCAGACTGGTCCCTCAGTACCTCCTGCTGCCAAGGCACCCAGCCCTTCTGTGGGGCCGTTTCTCTGCTGTGTGCAAAAGCCGCGTTGTATTTCCCTGTACAGACTGCAGAATAAAACCAGTGCAACGGCGCAGGCAGTGAGAAGAGGAACTCAGCTCGTGTGTCAAATCACTGTGACAAAAGGGCAGAGAGCTATGTGGGAGGCTGGGGGTGACACTCATATTTTCTTTGTGGAAGGATTACTCTCATCTTTCTGGTGGGCTGTTAAATATGATTCAAGGTGAGAAAAAGCACATGCCCTGTTAATTGAGGAAATGATACTTCCAAGGAGGCCAGGAATTTTTGGGAAACCAGACATTTTTTCGTGTGAAATCAGTGAGTTCTTGGAGGTCCTAATACGATAGGAATTCCTAGTGCATTAAAAGGTATTCCTTTCAAACCCAGTTAAAGCAAAATATCTGTTTTTCTTGCATTCCTTTGAAAATCCAAGGCCTAACACTTCTATGACAAAGGGCAACGGATTAGAAAGCCCTGTCCTACAAAAATTGCCTTGTTGTATGCAACCAGAGTTTTTGTTATCGGTCCACAGCATGGAAGCCTTGTGGTATTTAGTAGTCATGTTTGTGTTTGCTGTGTAATATAACCTGATAGCTGTTAGCAATCAGGAAATATCATGCCATTAGTTCTCACGTACTCATATCTGTGGGCAAGTACGTTATACAGAGATGAGTGCATCACCTAAATTTCGCATGAATCGTTAGGCATTGAATATTATTATTAAGGAATTGTTACAGGTGTATATGAAATCATGGCGTGTGAGAAATTTTACCAGCAGTGTCCTTGGGACCTTCCAGATAATGTAGCTTGGGAGGTGATGTGAAAAAGAAACAAAAGTGAAGAAAAGTGAGCCAAGGGCATGAAAAAAGGTGGACAATAGAAATATCACATTTTTGAGAAAAATGTTTTTTTTTTAAATGTCATCTCTCAACTGCATGCTGAGACATCTCTCCACATACTGTCAATAGGTCTCATTTCAAGATAACATTAGCTTGGTTGTCAGTATTATTGCCAAGTACCTTTCAATACCCAGTCATTTCTCTCTCTTTTAATATCTGTCCATGCATTTATTTGCACCCTACATACCTTCTCTAGGTCCACAGTACCATATTTATGTTTCAGATATGACTGATATGGTATAGGAAGTAAATATTAGGTATACATCCTAATGTAACCAGATATGTTTAGAATTTGTTTTTAGCAAGTTATTCACGGTTGTCTATACAAGCCTGAAATCAGTTTTTCTTGAAAATCACCCTTACTTCCTCTGTCATGGTGAATGAAATAGCAGAATGAAGTTTTTCTATTCTATATCTACACAGAATATCAGTTAGAAACAAAAGTGTTATTCTTTCCAAAGACAAAAGTAGAATTAGGCAATAAGTACAAGGATGATTTATATCTTCCATTTTTTATTTTCAAAATGTCACTGTGTTTCTTTAGATGTCGGGGACGATGTGTAGGGCGATGTGTTAGGAGCAGCAACAAAGTATTTTCTCAGTGCCAGAAGCCCTGGGAAAGTGCACATAATACGAAGACCTGTGTCAGTGCCAAGACGGACAGGTGCGCGTGAGCTATCCGAGCACACATATTGAAACTAGGGCAAGGACGTCAGAGAAGGAAGATAATCTCGATGCAGAGCGCAGCATGTAGCAATGTAGCAAAGTAACTTTAATCTGTAAACACAGCTGTATTCTCACATAATAAGGTATATAAGAGATGACGAAATATGAAATAAACAATCTTGCTTCACTACACACAAGGTTCGTGCTTCAATCCCCACATTTAGAGACGTCTTGTACTAAAACTTATTTTCCCCGCTTGCACGGTATAACCTAATTTATTCCTTTGAGATACATTTTTGCTAGCTCTACTTTTCTTTCTTGCAAGGAACCTTTTCCCTTGTCCCTTCTCTCTACTTTTTTCATCCAAGGAAAAATGGCTGCAGCTGGAAGAAGATGGGTCACAGTGCTACAAAAAATTCTCTCTGCCATCTCTGGGTTTGAAGAGGTGAAAATATCTCCTAATCTAAATTTTTTGGATTAATTAATTATCTCTTTCAACTCACAAAAAAGCTATTTCAGCCCAAGATTCTAATTGATTCTGTCATTTTACCTACTTCACATCAGATAATCATGGCAAGCTAACATCTAGCTGCAGATTTACTGCTTTGGATGTTTGTGACTTTCTTTTAATGAATCTTTGCATTATGCTGATTTTTTTCTAATTAGTTATCACACCTGTTCTCGTTTTCATCTAATTGAAATGCTGTGCTAAAAATATAAGTGAGGTTTCAATTAATTTGTCTTATAAATGGATGCATAATTAATGAAAGATTGAAATAAAGCCAATTCACAATGTGATCGTGTTACTTTTTTCCTGCAGTTTATCCTTTCCCGAGCGATATAATCAGCAAAAGATTTGCTTGAATTTATAAACAGATTTAGCTCTACATTTGAGTAACTATCACTGAGACAAACTAGATATATTATATTGAAAATTTGCCATCTTCCTACATTAGACAATTGTTTACAACCCTGATGCTTTCAGGAATATAACTATTTTGATTTCATCTTATTTTAAATATGCGTTTCACTAAGTGATTTTTTATGTTTGGCTCAGACAAACGAATTTCATCACATTATGAAGCTAAGATTCAAGTCTTTTTATGGTAAATGTTTCTGAAGAGGTAATGATGAAGACCTTATCTGTAGGTGCTGATTATTATAGACACCTAAGTCTATGCTCAGTTTAACCCACAATCTTCACTTTCTGAGATCAGCAAAAATACATGAAAGCTATGGTACCATCTAAAGTAATCAAGACAAATGCACTTCCATAGGATCATTATGCAAATGATTAAAGATGGCCTTTAAAGCTCACCCTGGAGTCAGTAGATTACTTAAAAATATAGGTTAACTCAAATTTTCCTGTGGCTTGAGAGATGCACAGTAGAACACCACCTTTCACATATGCCTTAACGCTGGTAATGCAACTATGCTTGCAGTAAACTCAGTTAATCTGAGTATTGTCTGTTCTCTCCTGGAGGAATGTTCTAATCTGAAAGAGTACATGTGGGAAAGTACAGGTATCCATTCCACATCTTGTGTGAAAGATTGACCCCAAATCATTATTTTCACCTTTCTGGAAGTTACTTTTCTTTTAAAATTAGCAATTGGAATTCTGATAGTGTTGTATTTGCGCTAGTCTTTGCAGTCATTTATCCAGGCAGCCATTCATCCAGCCAGCCTCATGGAAAAATGGCTACTTCATCTCGGAAAGAAAAAAATTGCATATTGTATATCCCATACAATGATTGATCCGGTATTTTCTACTACAGAAGTGTTT